GAGGACAAATGAAGGAAATGTACCGAAGGGCATACGTATGTGTATTTTGATTGGGAGAGGAAAGACGACGCAGGACCGCTGCAGTGGAAGCGTGTGTGTGTGTGTGTGTGAAGGGGGGGCAGAGAGCCGCAGTAGATGTGTAATCTTAGTCTGTGTGTGTGTGTGTGTGTGTGTGTGTGTGTGTGTGTGTGTGTGTGTGTGTGTGTACCTGTTTAAGTGCCTGTGAGATGTGAACAGGAGGGAACTGTGTCTATATGACGGTGTAACCACTGGGTGTTATCAGATCGGGCCGGAGTCACAGCTACTGTGTGTGCGTGCGTCTGAATTTGTGTACATATGGTCAATTTCCAGCTTAATTAGCCCAAATCTGGCTTTCTGGGAGACCTGGTTCCTCGCCCCATGTGGTCTCCTGGAAGAAAATGACAATAAGTGACATATTAAGCTAGCACTTGGTTTGCTCTCTCTCTCTCTCTCTCTCACACACACACACACACACACACGCACACGCACACACACGCTCACACGCCATCCAACTGGGAACAAAGCCAACAAACGTGCTAAAAATAATTGGGTCAACCATGAATTGTTTAATCCATATGGTGTGCATGAACACACACTCCTTCATGACGTAACCTTTTACCTGCATACACTCAAGACCTGTTGATAGAATACACACATTTTACCTGATGAAGTTGTGGGGACGTAACTTTATTAAGAGTGAGTACTTGTGTGCAAGCTTCTTTGTCTTCTTAATACTTAATACCATAGTTTTTGATGGTACACAATTTGACTTTATCATATATAAGGACTTATACGCAAGAAAAATTATTATTTCCCACAAATCTTTGAGGTTCACTCCAATTGAATTGCACATTCGTAAAGTTGGTGGGCTTGCAAGAGAAAGATAAAAGGCTCCTATTCACTAAGCCAAGATTTGTCTTGTGATGGAGACAAAAATAGTTACAGGCCTCTACAGTGAGATGTCTGCTGTCCTTTACATCATTGTAAGTAGAGAATATGTATGTTTTAGATGCTCAAGCTTTTCCTTAGCAAACAATGTATTCTGCTAGAATAACAACAAGAACAATGAGTGATCCTGTATTTTGAGCTCCATTGTTGTCCAAAAAACATTGAAAACACTACAGGGACTCAAGCAATTGCATTAGGGGCCATGTTACTACATTAAGATAAACATGAGCATTGCAGTTTGTCAAACGGGTATATATATATATATATATATATATATATATATATATATATATAGATAAATATCAAATATATTTGTTATATAGTATATTATATATAGAGAACCAGGATGGGAGAGGGCAGAGGGCTTCTCCTCATCGCCCTTCCATGTCAGCTCATGTAACTGGTGACATCGTTAAGGAAATCATGTGTGTGGCATGTTACTTTGATATTTCCACCGGAACATTTGCTATTGTTTGAAATACTTATGTCTGAGAAACTGTATATATGTGTGGTTACTACGACCCTCCTGTTCCCTCAGGAGATAAAAACACCAGCAACCTTTAACTCGTGTACTAGAAATGCTGGTCCAGCTTTGCTATGTGCCTCTTGTACAGAAGGGTCTTGCAGATCAGGGAAACTTATCCATATACCCGTATCAGTTAAACATAATTATATTTGGCACGTGCAAATATTTCAGATTAAATAAAGGTGACTGAAATAAAAAAAGAAAAAGGAAAAAAGAAAAAGAAAAAACATCCATTCAGAAAACGGTGTTTTGATGCCATGCAACAGAATATGACCTCACGAACCAGAGCCATCCACATGTGGGATAAAGGACAACCAATTCCCTGTTGGTTTCCAATTACTGCGCCGATGTCCGAAAGACAGGCGACTTGAGTCCTACGCACACTGCAGAAATCCCTCGCCTCCCTCTAATCACATGCAGGTAACTCGGAGATTCATTAAAAATCCTGCTTCTGTTCCTCTCTCGTGTGCACGCCTCCCCGAAGGGACTTTGGATGTGAATCTCTTCTTCTCCCTGTCCCACTTACCTGCTACAAAAAACTGACCTGGACTTTAAGGGACAGACTGAGGCGTCACCTTATGAACACACTTTGGAAGCCCACATTTAATTAAGGCTCAGTGAGCTCTTTTGAGAGTTATCAGTAGTATTAGCACAATAGAATAGTAATATATGCAATAAGAAACCAAATTATCAAACTATATATTATGAAACAAGTGAAATGTGTTTAGATATCAAACTGAACCAAAATAGGATTATTCTTTGTTTTTAAAATGTCCATTTCCATTGTTTGACGTCTGTAGTTCTCATCCACAGTGGTCATTTTGGAAGTGACAGACGATGTACTTTTGGTTTTATTTGAAGAACTTTTTTGTATTGCAACTCAGTTTTAATCTTTAATCTTTTACTTTCATCACATTGGTTTCCAATTTCCCTCGATTATTCCTAAAAATGTTGAGTGACGACAAAATATCTTGCCTGAAATGATTTTACCAAGAGCGGCATGACCTCTCCATTTAGGTGAATGAGAAGAACACCAAGACACGGGTAAGGAGATGACACAGTCAGGCAGTGTAAATTAAAATCCTCTGCCGAAAAAATGACTTTTATACGTTGTAAGATCACATGTTAGACACGCTCAATTGTACATGAGCACTGCGTGTCCCCAACGCATCAAAGGCAGCAACAGATGAAACGTATTCTTTCTGTTCATCTTCCATGAAGCTCTGCATGACGTGTATTGTGCTTTGGCCTCTTTGCTCTCCATCCAGCTGAAAACCCCCACAGGGCCCAAGTGTACGCTTACTTCACCGGGAGGGAGACACAGGCAGAGATACAGTTAATATTTCATGTCTTCTGGAGTCTTTCAGCTCGCCAAGAGTTTTTGACCACATCAAACACTGACGGTTAAACCAAGTAGTGAGAAATCAGCTGGAAAAGAAAACGCCAGGAATGACAGGAAATGAAAGAACCGTGTCTCTTATTTTACTTGGAAGTATTTATCTGAGAGAATTGGAGATCGTTTAGGACCACAAAAAGGGGGGAATTGTCAACGTGCACGTTGTCCCTGGGACTCAGTGCTGTCAAGTGTCAACGTGTTTACATACTTACTTCAAGGTCCTGGATGCATTTTGTTTTGTCATAATGTATGAACAATGTATAAAGATCTCAAACTAAGCCGCAAACAGGAGAATCCCATCTGCTGTACAGGATAAAATATCTGGGCTTTAGCATTGCATAGAGACTCACCTTGACTTGATTGGGTTTTTATTTTTTTCATGTTATGGAAAATGAGTATGTTCGTGAACTATCTATCCAGAGCCAGCTAGTTTTAAAACATATGTCATTGTGCGTTTTCGAGGAGATATCCAGCTATTGTGTATAATGTAAGACAACACAGACTGATGCAGAAATAATTGAAGCAACACACTAATTCATAAAGACAGATTTGATTAATTACAACATCCTTCTGTAATTCGTTAAGCTCTCCTCCTTGTTTTAGCTTCCCTCCCGCCTGCAGACTCCTCTGTAAACTCACTTTGTCTCGGCAGCTCGTCGACTCGAATCGAGAAAGCACATTTGCTCTCCTCTTTACAGACTGCCATGGCCTTTACCCACTTGGCCTTTCGTCCTCACGCTCAGAAAAATATTCAAAAGGCAGCCACACTGTGGCCGAACCGCTCACAGCACGGAGAGTTCAGCCGATAGATTTCTCAAGCATTTCTTTGGTGCTTGTTTCATGCTTTTTGTTTTCTCATGATGTTCAGGGGAGATGTCACAGCTCCCAGTGATAAAGACAAATAAAGAAGAGTTTTCTACAGCTTCTCCCTCGTGTTCTCCCTCTCTGACTCACCAGATGAAGACGGTTGGTATCGGCCGGCATTCTGCTCCCCTTCCACTATCCTCGTTCTGTATTTCTTCAAACCCTTCAAAAATAGATGAGTTCCTGGAGGTAAAATCTGTAATGTTATAGCTATTTAGATAGATCTGTGTTGGTGCAATTGCTTTGTTATTTAAAGTGTTAAATGACCGTCACTCAGTTTTAAAGCAAGTTACAGAGCCACAGCCTGGAAAAACACAATATTGGAAAATGCAATTTTTTGCACCAAACTTCAACCTTTTGGAAAAGAACAAATACGTATAAAGCTGAGAACATTGTAACATGGAGATACAAGAAGGTTAGAGGTGAACCAAAAGAAGTCTGGTTCAAAAACAAAAAAAGAGAAACCAGCAATCTAATGAATGGGGAATAGAGAGGATGCTGAACAGAACAGAAGCAGAGCTGTCAGAGGTTGCAGGATCACTGGCCTCTGTCAGAGCCTTCAGGCTCTATGAAACAACAAAAAAATCAAAGATGTCAACTTAAGTTTCATCTGCTCGGGATTGCTGATGGTAAAACTTTGGTGCAAAGAGAGAACAGCAGAGGAGGATGAAGCTGATAATATATCCAAAATGTATGTTGATGGATGGCAGTCGCAAGAACAATTGTCAATAAGAGCAAAAGTGCCTGAGTATTTCTAATTCTCCATTTCAGTAATGAAATATCTTTGTACCTGCGACAGCGTCGACCCGTCCATGTTGTACTGTATCCAAAGTACAAGTGTGCCACGCTCAGTACATCCCTCCGACGTGATGCCAGCCTGCGGCCTCCCCCTGCTGATCCCTGAGCCCTCCTGCGTGTCATCACTGCCCCATCTGACCACTTCTATTCCGGGCATCGCTCCCTGCAGTGAGCCCTCCTTACCCCCCCCCGCCAGTCCTTCGTTTCCGCTGGCCTCGCTGGGCCCGGCCTGGCACAGCGAGGCCCTCTGCCAAGTCTGACTCATCTAAAGAGAGACACTCAGTGACGACACATTAGAGGCAATATGGCCCGGGACTGCGTGTGTGTGCGCAGGTGTGTGTGTGTGCGGCGTATTGTTTACCTTTCCAATACCGCTCACCGTAAGATTTAGGATGAAGTCAAATTCACACAACAGAGAGATGTTCACAGACAACTAGCACTCTGACGTGTTACAGGGACATTGATGATTTATTGAGGGGTCTCCCGATGTAGAAACCTGAGTGACCCAAAAAATGTAATGAGAACAGTAAAATGGAACGGCCTGACCCACATCCAGTTGGAAAATGTGGCAAATGCTTTAAGAGAACTAAATCAGTCTTGCTGTTTTAGTGTCGGCAGAGATTGAAATGCTACGCGCACTCCCAAAGGTGGCAGATTTTTAGTGGTCTTCTGTACTTGCTGGTCTTCAAAGCTTTTGTTGCATCTTTTGCAACCTGGAACAAGAGAAGACAAAGAAAATACAATGTAATGAAGTGAAAATAAATGTAATACTGTCTATAGCATCCAAGGACAAAAACAATCACAATGTAAAACTTCAAAGTTGTCCAGTCACGGGAAGATGGCAAAACCAAGCCTAGGTCTGTCGTAGAGGTCTTCACAGGCTCACAGACGTGTTGGCTTCCAGGTGGAGTACACTTTATGTTCTTTTCTGAAGAATAAATTTGTGGACTTTTGAAAACTTCTAGTCTGTATTGATCCTTTTCAGAACTCATGCTGAATAAAAACATCTTGGACAAGGACTCAAGTCATTTAAAAAGTGTCCTACCTACAGTCACTGTGAGCGGGAAAGGAAATATTGTGATGACATGTCGTCATTCTCTAAAAGGTGTGGTTTGAAATATCAGTTAGTAGAATTTAAAGTGCAGAAACAATCCTAATGTAGGATTTTTTGTGGAGAGGTAAATAGAAAAGACAGACTACCAAGACTACGTGTGCATAAATGTGATGGTAAAGAGTATTGGCTGATGAAATTTAAAAATACAACTTTTGTAAGGATATTAGACCTAATTAAAATGGTTTACCTGTTGTAATTATGCAGGATATCCTTCATTAGCAGCCTGCGGTAAACTAAAATCTGCTGTCAGAGAGGATTATCTCCGCGTGCATTATCTTATCATATGCATGAGGGTGATCAAGGTTTGATTTATGGCTATACTTTGATTTATGGTTTTGTTGGCTCTGACAAAATCATCACAATTTTCCTGGATTAGGAAAGTTGCTAAAAGTCCCGGACCACACATGCCTACTCTTACAAACTTTGGCCAGTTTTTTTTGAAAAACACAGGAAAGCCTACAGATCTGATGGTATAGAACAGGGGTCTCAAACTCGCGGCCCGCGGGCCAATTGCGGCCCTCGGGACGATATTTTGTGGCCCCATCCTTAATATGAAAGTGTAATGTTAGTGCGGCCCGCAAGTTTTATACTGTAACCCCACTGTCAGCTGCTGTGTGGGACATGTTATGATGTTCTGGTTTCCTACTGTGTGCTTGTCCAGTGAACGTGGCATGCATGTGACTGACATGGGGGGCGGGTTGTGTGTGTCGGCCGAGGTGCAGAGAGCAGGAGGGTGAAATTCAGTTTCCTGCCCTCTTTCGCGCAGGTAATCATGTGACTAACCGTTAGCATCGCTCGTTTAATAAAGTTTTCCTTTACGACTCACACTAACAACACATGAAGCATCTGACGTCACCGACGAGCGTCTCCGTCCATTACTACGCAGCTTCGATTCACGTAACTTCACGTTTGGCTATAAAGGAATTCCACGGTCACATGACCTTAGGTCTCCCCCGCTGAGTTAAAGGAGGACTAGTGTTGTAGTCTCATTCGGACCGATCCCCCAGGGTGGGGTTCAATGACTGCTTTTGAAAGTGAGTGTTAAGTTGTGTTATTGTCGACCATGCCGTTCGGACGCTAGTCTGGCCCGCGTTCGGTTGAAGTGGGCTGCATCTGGCCCGCAGCTGATTTGAGTTTGAGACCCCTGGTATAGAAGATTTATATTAACTTGTGAGTCGTTGTGATGTGAGTTTACACCAAAGGGGAACACGTCATACTCTCATTTCGTAGCTATTTTTGTGCCATAGCAGTAAAAACTGAAGCCTAACAGCAAGGCCCATTATCAGCCTCCATCATTATTTACCCCTGAACTGTGGAGGCCCCTGCCTGCCTCCCCAGTCCAGTTACTTTGGGCCCTACAGCAACACAACAAAGCAATTTGCTCTGAATAGCCACCCAGGATGTATTCAGTGCATTACCGAAGTGATCAGCAACAGCAGGTAACTAGAAGAGAGCGACAGAGCAGCGGGGAGAAAATAGAAACAGGAATATTGTGATAAAGACGGATAAATATTTTCTAAAAAAAAAGAAAGAGCTAGATGGGAGAATGGGATGGCGAGCTATTACCATGTTACAGGCGGCCACGGTGCCATTCGAGGTGCTGAATGGGCAATAAAAGGACAGCGAAGTGGAGTTGCAATGGCAAGAGAGCGGACATTACATAAGACTCTAGAGGAAAGGAGACGAGGTCCCCGCTGTGTCCTCCTGTGCAGCCGCAGGACATCTACATTAGGTTGTTACACACTGCGTAATGGCTGGCGATTGTGGGGAGGTATCATCAGTTCCGCTTGTGTCAGCTGGTGCTTTGTAGAAAAAAAAGTAAAGTGTAACCGTTTTGGGTTGCCTTGTATCACTCAGCGGTTTGATCTGGGTTGCTGAGATTAAAATACAATTCCAGTTTTATGTGGTTTTGGCCTGCATGTCTTTAACTAAAAACAACAGCAGTAAGACAATCACAAGTCATGTAAAATTGGTCAATGTGGACTTGAATTCCTAGGGAAAGACTAATGAAAGGCATCAGAACGCCTGACTTACAAAGCCAGATGAGCAGGAGGAGAGAATTTAACTCTCAGATTTAAAAAGATTTTTTTTTTTCAGCATGAGTCAGACTCACAACTCTCCTCAATTAAATTCATTCTATTTTGTAAAACCTAAAATTGCCAAAAAAATATCGTAACGTAAAAGATGCAATGCATTCAATTCCTAAGACAGAAATGTTTCAAATTTTGACGTTCTCATAACCGGTAAGAAGAATAACCAAGTAACTGCAAAAGTAAATTGTAGCAAATCAGAATGATGCGTCAAGTCATATTTTATGAGGTGAATTTTTATATATATTCCTTTATAGGAATTTCAAATGACATTATTTCTGAATTACAGACCTCACAGAGTGGAGGAAGAACAGAGAGGAAAATCACTTTCCTGCACGTCCTCCATGAAGTATGAACCTGACTTGATGCCAGAAAAGGGAGGGGGGTTTTTTTGCGAGATCTGTAGATTTCATACTTTTCACACTAAATATATTGTAACCGATGTGTTACATTTCCTCACAGTCTCTCCTAAAAGTATATATAGTCGTAAAAATAGTTAAAATTATAGCTTTCCCAATGTCCACAGCGTGGCTTTTACGCTTGTGCTTCCTGAGGCACATTTTTACATCGTCATCATTTTCATGAGTTGGCATTATAAGCTTATTGTTAAGTGCTCCTCAGTGTTTATGGTTACTGTTCCTTTTAGTGTCAGATTGTTCTTTGTGTATTTCTATTGTTCCGCGCCAGGCCATTTTGCTGATTTTAAGAGTGTTTGTTCCTGCTTGTGCTGTATTTTTTTTGTTAGAAAAAAATCTGAACCTTGCAATAATTTCTAAAACATGATTATGGTATTCAAAGGTTGCTAATTAATCCCCCCTAAATATCACACACTGTTCCTTTAACGCATAGATTCCTTTAAATGTTATCTTCAATCTGCAGTGTCGCTATGGTTTATTCATGAGTATAATAAGACAAAGTAACATTAGCTCTCCCCGGCACTAATTCATATGCACTAAGCCTTGATTCATATCAGTTACCATGCTACTGCAGACAGCGTCGAGCATTTTGCTTGTCTGTTCCCTAATGGTGAGAATCCAATTGACATTCATGTAGCTGTTACATCTCTGGTTTCAAAGACGGGAAGCACAAATCATTAAAATTTACTTCAGCAGCTCTGGAAGCAGAGAAAGTGAAGAAAGGGTCGACCTTTGACCTCCCTTTAACAGTCAGGTGCACCATCATGTCTGCTAACGTTAGTCTGACTGACTGGACAGCACAGTCGGACTAACGTTAGCGTTCAAAGTTCAGTCTCGGTAAAGCCACTAGAGGGGTCAAGAAGTCTTTACCCAGCGTCAATGGTTGGTTTGGTTTCTCTTTGTTTTAATATGTGGTCACTTTTTTTTGAAAAGCTTTCAAACAATGCTCCTGTCAAAGTACAAAATGGAATTTAAATCTCAGTAAGGAGCTGATACAAGGATGACATCCTTATTTTATCATTTGTAAGACTTATGTTCAGATGACTTGCATTGGTTTTAGCGTCTTACACATCAGATGTTATAAATATATGCGAATCCTTTTGTGGTATAACGTGCTCAGACAGAAGGTACATGAGAGTCAGTCTTCTGTACTGAGTACTACTGCAAAATCGTTATGCTAATTGATGAACTTGGCGCAGTCTTGATTTAGATATCCCTTCTCTACAACTCATTAGGAAATAATGAGAATGACCTACAGAATAGTTTATCTAATATGTGCAAATAGGCTTTGAATTAGATTAGCATATTGGTCAGCCTTCCTCTAGCTGAGTGCGGTTACTGATCATTACAAAATCATTAAGCTACTCCTCGTTTGGTCATTTAAAATACGTCTTATTTTGGTGTTAGTAGCAAATTGGGAGGACAACGGAGAGGGGAAACCCAAGGAACACTGTGAAACATCTGGATTTCCGATTTATTCACGCGCAAAACTAAATTTACACATGATGACAGGCCCATGGACACATAAACGCACACAGGTGCTTCTGAAAAACGCATGCATACAGAAACATTTGCACACCAAACTCCCTGAAGTCAGCACATTTCTAGCCAGTAAACAAGCCTGTGAACTGCTTAGCAATGCTGCTCAGGCTGCAGGCATTACCAGTGCGCATAACATGGACACACACACGCTCACGGGGCAGTAAACATTAGCAATATTTTCCCATTTCCTCTGCAGGGCAGACGGGAGAGCAGTAGATCTTCAGGGGGGTCTGAGCCCTTCACTGGTAATAATCTCCTTTACACTTCACACTGCCAGGCAGATGAATCACAGTGGATGGCGTCACTGTGTGTGAGAGAGGGGAAAGGGCCATGCGGAGGTTAGCCTTTATGGTGCTTGGGTGTGTGTGCGAGTCCCTTTGTGCGTGTGTGGGTGTCTGTGTGAATTCCGCCAGGCAGAGAAAGGCCAAGGATCTCGTTCAGACACCGTCAGCAGACCAGAGGCGCAGAGACGTTTTCACTGATGCAGACGGAGCTTTATGTAACTAGAAAGGTGAAGCGGACCAAAACATACCTTCCAGTTCTCTTAACGT